GTTGGTAAGGTGGATGAAGTTGGGGTGGAACGAGTATGGCATGTAGCGGTCCAGCCATGGTGTTCCCAAAACGATGTCGCATGACATCGAATGAATCCTGACTGCGGAGGGTTTTGACAGTCATGGTGGTCTAGGGAACCGTGCGGTCTACTACGACGGCGGTGTCTTTGTCCCTTAAACGAATCGTAATTGGGGAGTCGTAATCGGTAGAGGTAAGACCGACTTTTCGGACACACGCGTCGGTGATGAAGTTACCGGTGGCTCCAATGTCGAGGAGGGCCCGAAAGTTAGTCGTAGACGCACCAATGGTGGCGGTGATGAATTTGAGGTGAAAGCGTGATGAGTTGGCGGTGGAGATAATGGTGTTGAGGCGGCGTTGTTCATTGCCTAATCGGGCAACCCGATCGAGTCGGGCTTGTTCCTCAACAACATCAGAGAAGGTGACAGAGGATGGATTTGGAAGGAGGGTTGCGGAACATGTGGCGGTGAGGGGTGCGTCAGGCGACGAGGGTTGCGACGCCTAGGGGTCGTCCGGTGGGATGTGTGGCACCGGAGAGGGGGGAGGCAGGCGTCTCGTCAATGCCAAATGGGTCACCGGTGGAGTGGAGATTGTCACCGATCGGATGGTCGGCAGACTAGTCGTCGATGCCGGGACAGGTTTATGGTGATACTGGGGACGATGTTCATGAGGGACCGGGAGTGGCGGATGTGGAGGCGGCGGGTCGGGGGGCCACGGACCTGGGTGTCTGAAGTGTGAACTATCTGACATTTGGATTGTTTGTCTGTAGATGTCCTAACTGTCACCCGAAACAACGACCCTTTGCTTGGAGGTAGGTTCGCTCCTCCGGTGTGAGTTTCGTGAGACGGGTTGGGTAGGTGTTCATGGGAGGATGGCTGGAGCGTTCTCTCTTTTCCATTCGCATGAGGTGAATGGCGGAGAGTTTGTCAGAGGAGAATGATGTGGTGTCTAGTGGGTCAGAGATGATGTTGGGGTCGGGGGCAGAGAGAGAGGTTCGTCGGCAATGTTATGAAAGAATTGTGGGCGGGGTGAGGAATTTATCTAGGTGAATGGCGCGGTTGAGGAGATCGAAGAGGGACATTGGGGGGTCACGGACGAGGGAGGCGGCTAGGTCCTTGTGACATCCCCGTTTGAAGCGGGAGATGAATGCGGCATCGCTGACGTAGTCGAGGGGGATGTGTTGCCGCAACGCACGGGCGTAATGGACAGAGCGGTTGGTCGGGCCGTTCTGTCGAAGACGGCAGAGTTGCTCAAAGTAGTCATCGACCGTCTTTTGTGGTCGGAATGTGCAGGGATGAGATTGGCCCACTGAAGGAAGGAATGGGGTTCCTCGTTTGCGTGTTGGCGGTTAGCTCATTCGGTGTACCACCAACGAGCCTGGTGTTGGCAATAGGGAGCCAGTGTGTGATAGGGACGTTGTGGAGGGAGAAGGCATCGTATGGTTTGTTGAGAAAGACGAAGACGTCCTCTTGGGGAAGGCCGGTGAAGGGGGGATATCCGTTGACCGGAAGGTTGGGGGAATGTTACCCGTTAAGGGTGTTGTGGTGGTGAGGGTGTTGAAATCAAGTTTGGGTGAGGAGGACTCTACCCGGGTGAAGTCGGTAGTGGGATTGGTCGGGAGGAGTGTGGACGGAGGAGATATTGGGATAAGAGGGAGCAAGGCTTGACGTGTGGGGGTGATTTGGGTATGGGTGGAAGTGATAGTGGATGAAGCCATGAGGGGTTTTGACTGGGAGGGAATGGTTGATGACTGCGTGACGGCGGGGGTTGTTGTCTTGGTGACCAAGGTGGGGGTAATGGTGGATGAAGGCGGGGGTGTGGATGCCGTGCTAGCAGAGAGGGCGGTGGACGTGGGGATTGGGGTGATTGGTGTAGATGTGGAGGCGGAGGATGGGGGGAGGTGGCGGGGGGGGGGATGTGGTGGTGACGATCTGGATGGCAAGGGTGCGACTTTCAATGGTGGTCACGCGAGCAGAGATGGCGGAAATGGATGTTTTGATGTTGTCCATGGATGACTGGAGAGATGTCATCATGTGGAAAAGACCCGTGAGGACGATGGCGACATCGGGTGCTGGTGTTTGCTCGCCTGCGAGGTTGTGGGCGGTGCTGTCGACGAAGTCGGAGTGGATGCCGGACATATCAATGCTGGATGATTGGGCCATGGTGGGGGAGGAAGCGGTGGTAGGGGTGATCTGGGTATGGGTGGAAGTGATAGTGGATGAAGTCATGAGGGGTTTTGACTGGGAGGGAATGGTTGATGATTGCGTGACGGCGGGGGTTGTCGTCTTGGTGACCAAGGTGGGGGTAGTGGTGGATGAAGGCGGGGGTGTGGATGCCGTGCTAGCGGAGAGGGCGGTGGACGTGGGGATCTGGGTGATTGGTGTAGATGTGGAGGCGGAGGATGGGGGAAGTGAGGTGGCACCCAAGGTGGGGGGGGGAATGTGGTGGTGACGACCTGGATGGCAAGGGTGCGACTTTCAATGGTGGTCACGCGAGCAGAGATGGCGGAAACGGATGTTTTGATGTCGTCCATGGATGACTGGAGAGATGTCATCATGTGGAAAAGACCCGTGAGGTCGATGGCGACATCGGGTGCTGGTGTTTGCTCGCCTGCGAGGTTGCGGGCGATGCTGTCGACGGAGTCGGAGTGGATGCCGGACATATCAATGTTGGATGATTGGGCCATGGTGGGGGAGGAAGCGGTGGTAGCTGCGGCTGAGGAGTTAGCAGCAGATGAGGTGGAGGCGGCGGCAGCAGCGGCGACGGCGGCGGCTGCGCATTGAGAGTCCTTGGTTGAGCGTGGCATGCGCGGGGGGAGAG